TATATATATATATATATATATATATATATATATATATATATACTATGTACTATATACATTTTACGCTACGCTATTCTCCCTCATTACTGGACGTCAGGAACTTTTATTTTTACTCTTCCGTAATACTTTTCCCACTTTCATCAACATCAAATTAGAAGTTGACGACGCTTTATAACTTCCGTATTGAACACGACTGGTAATTTGCAAGGTAATTGTGTCGAGTAGGTGACGGCGGAGAGATGTAATATTCTATGTCTAAAAATAGAACTATTTCCCAATAAAAATCAAAGAATGAAATATATGACGAATTTGCGTAATGGAAAGGAACGGAATGCAACTTAATAATTTTTCCTGTCGTATTGTTGTTGTCGCGAGCGGAGACAATAGAATTTTAATAACGTTTGCGAAAAACACAGTCTTAAAATTTCGAATTGCGCAAATTGCATGCAGCAGGACATTTACATTTTTAACTGTAGTAGAAAGTGAATAATTGCAGACGAGAGAATATAGTACGTACCTTCAGCGACTCAGGCAAATATCCCGTAAGAAAATCTAAGAGTTTCGACAGCTCCTCTTCAGCAAGTAGACGAAAATTCCGACCTCGTTCTACCGCTTCGGGGCACTCCATGCTGAAACTAATTACCGAGAGATTATTGCGTGAGTGGCGTGCAAACTTTCGATTTTCTTTATAAATATTGGCTTCGGAGAAAATAAACTCAATATTGATTTTGGAAATAAATAATTTTTGCGGCGCTACACCGATGCAATCGATACAAATCTGATTTTGTTGCGAGGAATATTAATACGTGACATTTCGAGGACGCTAAATTATTCGCTCGTGACACTTCGAAAACTCATGAAAAAGGTCGTGTGATATTAATGAAGGCACGCGACGTAGCCTCGCCTATTCATTATCGCCATGTAGATTGTAGTTTCCGTGGATTGTGCGCCGATGCAAATCTGCGAAATGTTTTCATATAATCGTGAACAATTTAACGAGAATTAATGAGCGTTATTACAAATAAAAGCTCAACAAAACTTAAACTTTTCTCAAGGCCTGACTCATTGTACGCAGTAGTGTAAACACACAAAAGCCTTGCTACACTAGGAAAAATGTTTAGTGTTTTTAACAAAATTTTATAATTGAGGCTTTTGTTTATTTTGTTTTATATTATAAAAACTTTCCTTGTTTTTGCTAAAGTAATTTTTACATTATGTTGTCTTGACAAAATAATTTAGAAAATTTTTAATAAAATTGAGATTTTTTTATTTAGTTTGAACAATCAGATTAATAAAGTTACTTTAATAAAGCAAAATTAAATTCGCAGATCGAAAAAACATCCATTAAATGTCTATTAGATATCTAATATATGTCTTTTCGGCCTGTCATTTCTCACTGGGTTAGGATTAAAATTACATATAACAAATTAATTAAATTAATAACTTAAAATTAATACAATAAAACATTCTTGTCTAAATTAATAAAACTTGTTTTATTAATATTTTTAGTCGTTATGTCAAGAAAAGGAATTGTATGAAAAAATGTTGCAAACAAAGACTGTTTATTTAGGATAACTAAATAGATTTGATTGTGCATATTTTAACCAAATATTTTTGTCACTATAATAAAAATTTGGTTTCTTCAACTAAATATTTTTCCTAGTGTATATTTAAGAGAAAAGAGAAGAGGCTAATCTTTATTTTAACGTTTAAACGGTTGAGCTTTTGATGCTACTGATAGAATGCGATTCAGTGGCTTATTTATTATTCAGATTATTATTCAGATATGAATTTACGTTATCTAAATGTTATATTTTTTGATATATTTAATTATTTGCAAAAATTCTGCAAACTTATTCAGATACGAATTTACGTTATCTAAATGTTATATTTTTTGATATACTTAATTATTTTCAAAAATTCTGCAAACTTATTATAAGATATCTATAAACTAATAAGATCTATTAGTATGAAACGATGGTAAACAAACTCAAAATATTGTGGTAATAACTGCGCTCAAAATAAATATTAAATCGATCGAAAAGTCCGTTCTTTTTGTTTAATTATTGTAAGAGCTACACAGCGATTTCTGAATGTAGTAAATAATGATTTATTATATTTATATACTCATAATAGAAGAGTGAGAAAATCTTCGCCGAACGCGGAAGAAAACCTCCGTTTATACGTTTAGTGCAATGTAGGTCAGCAAAACCTTCGCGGAACTTCCTTGAACAATAAGGTTTCTTGTGTTTCGACGATGCGTGATCTCAAATACGTAGGATTATGACTGATATCCGCGAACCGATACGCTAATGTTGCATAAGATACATTGAATGTTCAATTGGCGGTTACGTAGGAAGTGTAAAATAAAGAAAAGGAAAAAAAAACGAAATAGCCATTGTAGCTTTACATCAAAAGGCAGAAGGCTGCGTAATTCGCTGGATTACTAAATTAAAAGTGTATTATCGGTGCCCATATCGCGTTACTCTTTGCAAATTTACTTTGGACGAAGCGAAAATTGCAGTGATCGCGACGCGAGTAAATACGCGCAGGCAAATATTCCGATAGATTGATTACGTAGTTTCGTAAATTTATAATTTATTGGATTTTGTTCGCGGAGCAACTCGAATAATTTACGGAGTATGGAGCGCTAATAAACAATTCTGCATTCATTCATTAGAGAAAATATCATTGATTATGCGAGCATAATTGCTTACATATAATCAGAATGATCAATATTGCTGCGGAACGATATTTATTTTTTATATCTTTGTGGCAAATCAACATTTTTCACTTCTCTTCTTCACTTCTCGAGTTCATCATCCACTATTAACGCGAAATTGCGCCAAATTGTACACTCGACCGTTCAAAATTACTCTCTCTCGAATTATTCGCACCTTGTCCGCATACTTTATCGTTGGGAATTAAAAGAACGGTAGTTTACTCACGTCGCGGTGAAAGTGTGCAACGAGCGCTCTTAATGATAATCGTTACGAGTCAAACTGTGTTAAGTACCGGATAGGAAGCGCATCTTCGGCGTCGTAACACACGCGTCACCGGTAACACGCAAGAGATTACCAATATTACTTTCACAACGAACACGCGAATTACGTTAGCAAGAGAGACAGAGACAGAGGCAGAGGGAGGGAGGGAGAGAGAGAGAGAGAGAGAGAGAGAGAGAGAGAGAGAGAGAGAGAGAGGAGGGGGAGAGCAAAGAGGGAGAGACAGGGGGAGGGAGGGGAGAGAGAGATGATCTGTCGAACGCGGTTATCAGATGCGGAGATACGAGAAAATCGACACTTCGCGTTGGAGATAGATTCTCGATACATACCGCCAGTGCGACATCAGACCGCAGGCAGTATCTATATACACATACCGCGCCGGTCGGACAGCCGGTTGTGTGTCGTACTCTCTCACTCTTTAAAGATTGGTCCTGAATCAGGATGCACATGAATCGCCTGCGTATTCTCACGTCGCGTTCTCGGATCGTCCTGGACGATATTGCCGGTTGGCCGTCTCGCGTAAATTTACGTGTGTGCACTTAATCGATTTACCTGAACGAACGGGAGGCTTGTCGTTCACGTCGTCCGAGCACGTCGTGCGGATCCTCCTCCTCCTCCCTGAGAGGAGGACGACGACGACGACGACGACGACGACGTTCGTACACGAGATCGCCGGATTGATCGCACCAAGCACCTGGACTCGATTGATCGGACGCGCGGTTTCCGCGTTGCGAGGAATTAACGTGCGCGGAAAGCGGGGCTTGCTCGCCGCCGAGGGTGAGAGAGAATGGTCGCGGGTTCTCTGTTGTCAAGGGGGATAGTTCCAACGGAGGAGGCACCCACCCTCGCTGCCCCCTGAACCCGCACTGCCGCCCCTACGCAGCCGTCGTTTATCCATGCACCCCCGTGCCGTGGTGAACGTGGACGCGCAGGCGTCGCGACGCCGGCAGTGCCGCGGTTCAAACCGGCGGCGCCCTTGGAAGGCCTCTCTGTCGCAGGAAAGGGCCCTTGATGACGTAGTCCGACAGTCCGACAGACAGCTGAGTCCGGCTTGCTTTAAAGCCGTCATTTCTGTCGTGGGAGTGACAACGCGTCGCGACGAACGGCGTACTTTTACGCGATGTGCGAGCGATCGCTCGTGTAAGGTGGGCCAAAATAGTTCATAATTATAGGTACGAAGGTGGCACGAAGGATCGTTAAAAGCGGCGCGCACACGAATGTCAAGTTCACGTCGGTAGTAGTTCTATAAATTACAGGATTAACGGAGCAAGCACTTGCAATTCGTCTTTTTTTTCTTGCGTTTGCAACAATTGTCTTTTAGCGTAAACTTTAATTCGGTTTTTTCCACCAGGAGAAATTCAAAGAAGCATCAAAATACTTGAGTAGTTTTTCATTTCTACACAATATGATGAAAAAATCAATATAAATTAAGAATTCTCTAATTGCGCATTGACTCTCACTGTTGTCGATTGAGCATCAAAGAGCCATTTTTCGTTACACTTGGCAATTGTCACTCAGAAAATACAAATAAATAACGCAAATCAGATAATTTGTATGAATTAATCATGATAATATGAGATTACTAAAGACAACTAAATGAAAAGCATAATTTCTAGATTTTGATGTAGCGCATTCTCATCCTTCGTTGCGCAGAACCATTGAATTTCCGCATTGCCTCTACCCCCAAAAAAGTATAGTTGCGGCAGAAACTAGGATTGCAGATCTCGTTGTCGCATGCGTCATACGTTTATGACAAATTAACGTGCTTGATATATGGTCCGAAACCACTTTTAAAACTGATATCGCGTCTCTCTCTACTTTAAAAGGAAAAGATTTTGTGTCTGTAAATGCATTGAAACTCCACGATTAATTACATTTTGAAAGCAGCACGAAGTAATGTAATAGCCAGACGAAGTAGCGACAAATTAAAATTCTGGATGAGTTCTGATGAAACCATAATAATCGTGGAATTTCAAGGCGTTGCATTTGCATACAACGTGGAAAATATTTCAATGTCGCGGCACATTTTCCATTCCAGTGTCGAAGATACGACTAATTACCGTCCGTTTGTGTTCTGACGCGCAATAACATAAATTTTCGCTAATAATACGTTATTGTCACAAGTAAAATTGAGTCACATAAATTACTACAAACAATAGAAACACTAAAATTTGTATTCTTTTGATATTTTATCTTCAAAACTTTTTAATTGGTTTTTATTATTAAGTTGAGTAAAATAAAAGCTGTTTATATATATAATATATGTTGCATTAGCGAAGAGAATATTGTGTGAATATTTATATGAAGACAAAACTATAATAAATTGACTTAGCAATTAGTGCAATACTCTGTATAAACTCCGCAGAATAATTTGACTTATATCGTGCTATTATATTTATAATTCGGTGTGCTTATATCCTCATGTAAATCCTTGTGCCACAATCTTAATTGAGCAATTTGCTCATAAAGCGAAAATAAGGCCAAAAGGCTTCGTAAATTTCTGCAATAACGTAGCAGTGCTATTTCAAGAACGATATTGCGCGCGTATCTAAAATAATATTGATATGTGTTACATTTATCAATCAAATCATCTTTTTATATATAACTGAAGAGGGACGTTTGTCATTTGCACCCACCATCTCTCCTACGACTTTTTTCCCTTAGTTGCTCTGGTTACTACCGTAACTTGTTAACGCAAGACAGTAAGCGTATAAAAGGCAACGCGCGTTATACACGTAAGATCGTGCGGTGCAACGTTATTGTTTCACAAAATACGGCCGGAAGAAATTCATTTTACGGTGCAGAGTCACGAAACGTTAAAGAATATGGTATCTTGGAAACATTATCTGATTTTCTAACTCTGTGATTTAGCGGTGATACGGAAAACATATTACACGACCATAATGTGTCTTGCTTTTTTTAAAGATACTTGCTCATGTACTATGTAATCAGATTTGCCGTATAAAATTGAGTGAATTTATTCTATATTAAGTTCTAAATTTGGCTTTACTTGTTATGAACTTGACTTTACCTGTGATTTATTTGTTCTATACGCCTCGTTTCTCATTTAAAGTTTAATGTGAAAGTAGTAAGAAGTGACAACTCAATTTAAATAGCTAAGCGCTATTAATCCTTAACTGGAATCTGCCACCCCACTGCCACGCTTCATTACTTACGCTTACTTCTATTGTACTCTTCTGATATTTTGTATTTTGCAAATTTTTAAATTTCATATATTTTATCTTTCTCTCTCATATAACAATAATAGTTCTAATAATTTTTTTAGCGGAATTATTTTATCAAATTAAATTCAATTAAAAAAACGATATAGTAGTATATTTTTATTACAATAATTGAAAAAAAAATGCCAGTAATACCAGTTAAGGATTCACACTAACAACGAGGAACAAATATTGCCATATCATTCTCAATTTTATTGATAATTTTCGTTGACATTTATCGTCGACATATGTGCTCAGCATTTACTGCGCATCGTGGGGTGTGATTCACCCTCGCATCCCCTCCATCCTGGCACAGCACTGTCATCGGCGTCACGACACACAGGGAAAGGCACAGCCTCCTGTATTCTCCCAGATCGATTCGTCTCACTGACAAACAGAATCGCTAAAAAGTCTAGCGAGTTAGAGCTTGCTATGTCAACGAGCAGCACGTGCAACGTCGATCGCTATGTCAGGCTATCGTGGATCCATATTCGGTATGAGTAAACGCGATCAGTTATCAATTTGTACACGACGACTATAACCTCAAGCCTCATTTCTGTTAGTGAGTGATATTGTGCTAAACGGCGTTTCTGTGATCATATTTCTAATCTATAGCCGAATCTACCTGAGCAATTCTTGATAAGTGTCCGCAATATCGACGAAAAGTTGTATAACGTTATTGTGTATGCTGTACTTACATACGTTATTTGTCTGATATCTGTGATCGATTCTTTGCCTTGGAAGGATAATACGTGTTCTATTCTTGTTCTATTCCGGTGAATCACAGGGTGCTTTTGGTTCTTATAAAATGAATTTATTTCGGGCATTTATATTTAAAGTGACACTTATTCCAGTTTCTTATCGATTGTCAATTTATTTCTACGAAAGTAATAATCGTGCCCGTAAATAATATAATCAGATATTACTCTGACGTAATGTATATAGTTAATAAAATAAATCATTAGAATCGAGAATAGAAAATTTTGCAAAAACTATGTATCAGTCTGAAAGAGTGTATTTGATAATCAAATTAACGCTCTGAGTAACATTAATAAAAATCAATTTTATTTGAATATAATATATAACAGGTAAAAGTATATACAATACACTCAAATTAAAAAAAAGAAAAAAACATTTTTGATGAAACAAACAAGTTGCAAGAAAATTCAAATTTTTATATACAGTATTTAACAAAAATATAATATCTAGCCCTCCATAATTTTCTAATTATAAAAATATACTAATTGTAAAAAGTAAGTCTTGATTTTTACGCAACGCATATTAATCGCAATTAACAATAGAGATTTATATATTTTTTATTATATTAATCATTTGGAAATAACTGAAGCTCACTAATTAGTTAGCGAATTTGTACTTTAAATGTCATTTTTCTCGATTTGTTATTTAATTTTCTGTTTTGTATTTGTTGAGATTTTCTTCCGATTATTTTTCTGTATGTAATTCCCGCCTGATTTTTAGTAGTTACACTTTTACTGTATAGGTAGCAGTGGTGAACAGGGAATATAGTAACACCATCTTCGAGTGGCTCGTCAAACAAAACTTATTGCTGACGCATAACTTTGTGTCGTGTAAATGATAGCGATAGTAAAAAGAGAAAAAGTCATAAACGTCATATATACATTTGACATAAACTATTTGGAATTTTTTTACTTACACAGTGTATAATTTTACCTGCTGGAAGTATGATTAATGTTCAACACACCAACATGAGTGTCACGAGATAATTTGGTAATAGTATGCTTATTATTTATCTGTCAATATAACAGATAAGATATGTAAGTAAAGAAATCTGTACTCATGGACGTTACATTAAAATTTTAAAAAGAAAATACACCAAAAATCTAATTAATGTTAGTTTTTTAAATATGACATTTAATTATTGTGCAACTAATTTTGTAAGTTTGTTTTCTATGTGATGTAAAAACTATATTAATGATTATGTAGTTATATTTTATTCAATAATGTACTCTAATATGCTTCAGATTAACGATAATTTTATTATTTTCAAGCTATAAACTTAATTACACTTGAGCAAAAAGCATAACATATATTAATATATTAAAATTAACATAATATAGGTATCATCTTAATATTTCTATGTACATGTGCTGATATCTTTATGTGCATAGAATTGACAGTTAACATATCTAACTTTCAGGAAATATAATTACACATATATAAAATTCAATATATGATATATTTAGAGTGATATAGATAGGATCATATGTAACAATATCACTTTCAACAAATGAGATTAATAAATATTCTTCTTCCAGATTATATCCATAAAGCGAGTATGTGCAGAAAGAAAGTTCGAAGTGACACACAATTCGACAACGTGGATTACACACAACTTAGAGAAACCGATAATGGTTTCTTTGATTCACAAGTAAATAAACAGTATAATTTTTTTTAAATGTGTTATTTATATTATATTTCTTAATAAGAACTTTTAATTATTTATTCTTAAATATATTAATATTTTATTGATTATAAAATATATATTTAACATAATTAAGAGAGATAATTCTTTGATAGTTTGTAAGTCCACCAGTAAAGATACCATGGAAGGCTATTACATTAGCTGCCCTTCTATTTGTTGGAGGAGCTGTTATGCTTATTATGGGAAGTTTGATCGTGAGCGGACACATTGATTCAAAAGTAAGATTTATTTTATTCTTCTCTTTAAAAAGGACAACTAGTCCTTGTCCTGTAACTAGTATATCTTGGTAATGTCAAAGTTCATTGTTACCACTTTTCCACAATGTACATTAATGTTAAAACATACATTTTATTCATTTTTATGCTTTAGAATCTTATATCTATCATTTTGATAGGCTTAGAACTTTACAGCAATGCATTGAAATCTTTTATTCTAGAATTCTAGACTATTTCTTTGTTTAAAATATAAAATTTTAGTACACTGCAGTAACGAAAATGTAAATTCTAAAGTTTTAACCTAACCTAACTAACCAATGTTATGATATAACATTATAAGGGATAAAAATATATAAAATGTATATTTTAACATTTTAAATCTTTTCTTTCTTTAAAATATAAGATCTTAGTGCATTGCAGTAAAGTTCTATGTCTGCCAAATGATACAATATTCTAAAGCATAAAAGTGAATGTATATTAATGTTAAAGTATACATTTTATTCGTTTTTATGTCTTATATCATAACATTTGGTAAATCTAGAACTTTAGAATGTATATTTTCTTTACTACGATGCATTAAAATCTTATATTTTAAAGAAAAAAATGATCCAGAATATTAAAATGTATATTTTATTCAATTTTAAGTACTGGTATTTTATACTATAAAATTTAGAAAGCTTAGCATTTTAAAATTTTATATTGTCTTTTGTAGGCAAGTAAGCAAGTATAAAATAATTTTGTTTCAAAATTAAAAATATGGAAATATATGAAATGATGATTTTAATACCTGCCAAAGTTATATATTGTAAAAAAAATATTTTTTATGTTGCAGTATTCAGATCGGATGTGGCCAGTGATAATCTTAGGGGCCTTGATGTTTATACCAGGGGCTTACCATATGAGGGTAGTTATTTTAGCATATCAGAAAGTACCTGGTTATTCTTTTGATGATATACCTGAGTTTGATTGAATATTATGTATGTATGCACATAGTACTTATTTATTAGTTCTAATCTTTATTGTATTGAAAAATTAATTTAGTAATAAGAAATTTTTTATTCATCCATGATGATGAAAATTTGCATATAAAAGAATTGAGAAATTACACGTATGGAAATGTAAAGAAAATTGCTTTTTTCTCTTACATACAACATTTACATGTTTATTTAAATACGAATCCTTCTTGAGAAACTGTCATGTAGATTACATAACAATAATATAATATCTATTTAATGACTATTTTATAAAATATTTTAAATTTAAATATAAAGATTTTCATATATATAAGCATTTTATATAATTAAAACAGAGAAAAGAATTTCTCCGACTATGATCATGACTATGATTATGATCATGTTTCTCTCTTTTCAAAATATCTATTTTGCATTTAAAAACAAATATCTGTATCAGAAGCCTATAATGGATGTTTAATTATTAGGAATATAATAAAAATATTTTCAAGATAACTTTATTTGTACTTAAAAAAAAAGAGCTGTGATTGTACATTTATAACAATATCAAAATATGTGTATTCACTATAAAATATTGAAATTATATAATGTTTATGTATTTATGCTATTATTTTAGACCTAGTAAATGTGCACTGTCGATGTAAATTATCACGCATACAAAAATTTTTTAGTTTAAATACAGTATTTATATATTTGTTTATTATTATGCATATTTTGTATAATTTTCATAGAGAGTAAATGAATAATTATAACTTTCTGGATCAAAATTAATGTATAAAATTACATGTTACAATATAACATTTATGTCCTTGTATGAAATAAAATGAATAAAGTTACAATTAATGCGTCTGTAATAAAAAATAAAAATTAATAGAAGAAATTATGTACCTACAACTTAATGAATTTAACACAATTCATATATAACTATATAAAAAACTAATATAGAGAAACAAAAAGTTATTTTATAAAAATTGCATAGTATTAAAAGATAAATCAAAAAATTATTTCAAAAAGTTGTAAGTAAAATAAAATCTTCACGTAATAATTTCTAAATATTTTATCTGTATCAATTTGCATAAACAAAAATTTTTTAACTATAAAATTAATGTAAATTCAAATGTATTTATAAAATATGAACGTAAAATAAATTTAATTTATTTCTCAATTGGAAATTTAAAAAAATAGGGATTGCTTTTTTAATCTGTTAGATTGCATTGCTTAAAAGTTTAATTCTAACAATGCTCTGACTTCAAATAATTTATAAGACTTGTGCTTTGTAATCTATGTATTCTACCTTGACTACCATTACGCATTAATAATATAGGTGGATCAAATCGTTTTTTTAAAACTTTTGCCACCAATGCCTTTGTATTTATAATAGCTTTCTTATTGTAACAGTTCTGCGAGTCGGCGCAAGAAAATTGTTCATTCGTTGATTTTATCTGTAAATTAATGACAAGATATGAAATAATACAAAACATAAAATAGAAAAAATGCTACTGATATATACATACATGACATGTGTGGATGTCAGATATGTATAAAACGCTCTGAATTTAATTTTGTTCTTTAAGAACAATTTTATGTTTAGTGAATGCTTACCTCTAAGATAAGGTATACTTTTATTTGATAAGGTTTAGCAAACTCAATCGCAGGTCCAAAATTCATTAAAAGTTTTTTTACCAATTGCAGGAATATAAGATACACTTCTTCTTCTGTTAAGTCAGTACTTATAGTGACATATATTACTGGCCACAACTATATTGAATGTATATAATGAATACATTATATATATAAAAAATAATTTAAAACTTATTTAAAGTTATTTAAAGAAATACACTTTTCATGAATTGATTAGATATGAAACTATAAATAAAATAAAATAATATAATTTTACCTTTACTGCTGAATAGATACCTATACCTTCTGCATAATTATAGATCTGTTTGGCTAACGCTTCGTTTATGTGAACTAATGTTGAAATTAGTGCACGACACGTTATTATACTTAATGCAAAATTATATTTAAGTATTAAGTTGCTCATTTCTGTGATCAAAGTCGTGTTCATTTTTGATAAAGATAATATTATTAATTTGGTCACGTAACGGGATAAGTCTAAAAATAGTAAAATAATTCTTTATTCTTATGTTATTGAGAGTATAATATAGCATATATATATATTATAGTTATAAATATATAATAAAGCAAATGATAAAATAATAAACTACAAAAATATGTACGTATAAAAATTTTATCTTACCTATTGGATAATACTGACTGGATTGATCTTTAAGCAAAAATTGAAAAAGAAAGAAGGCGTGTTCAAAACATTCATTACAAAATGAATCCAGGAGAATGTACATTATTTTGTTTCTTACAAGTTCATCGTTAATAGTGCTTTTAACATGCCACTTAGCACGACTCGTACATATAATGTTTTTGTCTGTAAATATTAATATAGAAAAATAAATAATTTATTAATACAATTAGTTAATAAGATTTATTATTAGTTAAAAAGTTAATAAGAATTAAATATTAAAATAATAATTTAGGATATAACTGCTATACTTTTTTATAACTTTTTACTACTTTACTTTTATTACTTTTTTATAACAAATCTTATTGTCTTAATAAATCAATAGTATTCGTTAAAGATTAAAACTTACGTTCAATATGGAAAAAATATAAGTATTAAGAATTTATATATCTTATATTTTAGTTTTTCTTGTTAAGATATTTTCCTGTGTTTATATATATATATATATATATGTATATATTAAAATTTGTAAAGAAAATAGAATTAAAAAATGTATATAAGATAAACTCACATTTGAGTAAATCAAATGCTTCTATAGTCTTCTTGTTACCTAAATAAACCTCAGCCGATAGCAGAAAAAATTCTGCGTTATGCAATAAATCATATATATTAAGTGATGGAATCAATGAGAGTGCAAGTCCCCAGGCCTCCTTATTTATTAAACTGACCAGTATATTTAATCCTATGTTAAACAAGGTTTCACTTAGAATGCCGCAGGTGCCTGTTTGGACTGAAATGTCCAAAATTAATTAGGTAAGACTATATAAATAAGAATTGTAGTCTAAAGTTTATTTATCATGGTTTTTATTTACTTTATTGTAATACATGATACATAAAAAGTACGTCTAATGACTATACCATAAAATATTAAACTAATAAAGAATCCTTTTATAGTTTATGCATTATTTAAAAAAATCGTGTATTGTGTAATGTTAATAAATCAAAATGTAAAAAATTTTTAATTTATCTCAAGTATAAAATCATAATGTTTGTGTATGTAATTTTTATATATTTATATATGTAATTTTTCTACTTAGAATCTACAAGATAATACATACGAATTGCAGTAGCTTATAATTAATCGCATCTCTATATGTGTGCAGTATTAATAGTTGAATTTATAGATATAAAAGTTGAATATTTTTATTGTAACCATCAATGTGATCATCAAAATAAAAGAGGGAATAAAGTAAAAAAATATTGCGACGTAAAAGACTTATATTAACGTACATATATTCTATATATTTTAATTAGTGTACTTTAGTATTAATATATTTATTACCTGTACGACGTATGATGTTTGCTACGTGATATTCTGAATGCTTTATTTCTGTTCGAAATATATTACAACACGACTGAATAAAAAAGTGGTTTTCATCTTCTTTCTCTTTGTAACTTTTTAAGATATCAATAACGTAATCATAATCTTTATGTGCAAGTCCCTTTTTTAATCTTTCTAAATCCATATAAAACTTCCAGAGACGTTCATGATCTCTGTATATGGATCGTGGATCGGGTAAATTATCTAAAACAGAAAAAGACGTATGTAATAGCAATATAAATGTCTCATAAAAATTAATAAAAATATATAGAATTATTACCAATACGTTGTATCATATAAGATGTATTTACATCACTACTTGTGACAGCAATGATATCGTATTTTTTTGGAGTTTCCACTTGTAATAAAGTTTCATCTGCGTTTGAATCTGGAGAAGCAATATTCTCCGCTGCTGAATTTTCTCCAAAATTTTGAATTAATGGTAAAGGAGAATTCTTCATAGTTTTCTTAGTCAAATTTTTGAAACATTCTACTAAATGTTTATCTAATGCTGACATTAATGTAGGATGAAGTTTGTCTATTAAGATATCATTAACATCTTGAATATTCATTAAGTTTTCATAGGTTATGCATTCCTTTAATATCTTCTCGATAGTATGTTTAGTTGGTTGGAAACTTGGTTGTAAAATTAAAACTTTTACTGTGTTCCAATATTCACCAACTTTTACATGCTCATCTACACAACTCAATATATTATTGATTTTTTCCGCACTTTTAACAGGCATGTATTCCACTAACCTTTTCACAATTGTTTTTAATGATACTTCTCTATTTAATAATTCCATGACAATATGGCGTATACATTTTATTGACAATGTAAAGTTTTCCCTTTTCAAATTGTAATCACATAGCATTGTATATATCATTAAAATCTGCTCCACAGATAATTTTGTTAATGATGTTATATACATTTGTTCACAAAAAAAATTAAAATTTGTAGCTGATACATTTTGTAATGTTTCGAAAATTGTTCTGGGTTCATTTAAACAAATTCCTTTAATAAGATACTGGAACTAAAATTAATTTAATTAAAACACAACATAAGTAACTACATAAAATGACCAGGAAAAAAGACAATATAATAGATTAATATATATGATATTTATACTTACATTGTGATTAAATTTACACAACGGCCAGCAACATATACCATTTCTCAATGTTGAAAAGCAATATCCATTGACAACTGATTTAACTTTATCATATGTTTGATCAATGTTTCCAATTATAGGTGGTGTAACTTTTGTTGCAATTCTAGGTATATAATTTGTACACAAAGTTTTTTCCCACTTATTAGACAGTTCTTTTGCTTCACTAGATTTACTCATTTCTGCATTATTTTCTATATCATTTCTGCATTTTGCATACTCTTGATTAAACTCACATTTATTCTGCTTTACATATTTATCAAAACTATTTGCACTCATTTTGTATGGTTCATTGGAATCTAGAGATTTATGTGGCTCGTTTTTCTTATGTGAAATTGGATCTTCAGATCTGTAAAAATAATTAAATTTGCACAATATATATGTGTAATTATTATTCTAATAACTCAAATTAATATTCAAAAAATTACAAATACAACTACAATTACAATTTTAGAAATTAAGTTGATAATATATAATATCATTATATATTATCAAACTCTGTCAGATTTTTTTAGTCTATACTTACAGACTTTCATCAAATGATTCATCTGTAAAAAGAAAAATGCAATCACCATCCTCTCCATTATCAATGTCATTTATATGTTGTTCTTTAGTATTTTTATTCATGGTTTTTTCTGTGTTTTGTATCATGTTAGGCGAATTATGTGAATCATGATGTGAATTCACTTGGGTATTATTTTCCTCTTCACAGCAAGTTTCGTTAAGAGTTGGTTCTTTCTCAACAGAGTAGTTTTTTGTGATATTCTTTGGTTTGCTCTTTTGTCATAATTGTATCATTCTTATTTTCTACATTTATTTGCTCAACCAACTCTGTACTGTCTTTATTATTACATTCTCTTTCAAATGTAAGCTCCTGAATGTTAGTTCTTTTTGATCTCTTTAAATTCAATTGGTTACGTAAGTCATTGTCTTGCTTACAATTAAGTTCTTCATCTTTGGATACAATATTTGGTTGTGCTGTTGCAATCATATCAGTATTTATAAGGTCATTGCATTGTTGATTTATTGGCTTAATCAATGTTCCATTATATTCCATCCAACTATTTCTATTTAATTTCTTTTTTTGATTGCAGTTAAAATCTGCATCTTCTTCTGCGGTACGTTTTAGATTTTTATTTACAGCTCTCTCTTTCCTAATAAGGTTTAATTTGGTATCAATTTGGTTTACATTGGTATCACAATTTTCATTTTTATTCATAAGATTTGAAGTATTCTTGTTTAATGTGTCTTCATTATAATTTATTTCTGTGCTACAACTGCCTTGTGATTTGCTCTCAAGTATTTCATCAGTAGATAAGCCACTTGATTGTTTTTGGCACGAAACAAAGTTTTCATATATTACTGTCTTTTCATTATCAGCATCAAACATGTCTACATCACTACAAGTGCTCTTCTTTGATTTCTTCAAAGAATTTAAGTTATGGTGATTAATAATTTTGTTACAAAGTCCATTATTTTTATCTTCTTCATTCATATTATTGTTAAGTGTTAATAAAGAGTCTGATGGTTTTAAAATATTGATAAAAGCACTATTTTGTGAGCTGATGTTTGTTTTATTTTTATTAATAATTTTTATTGTTCCTTTTGGTAAAATATTGTTTCCAATTATTTTTGGTACTGTACTATTTACAGTTGTAGTTTTATTTTTTGAATTTGTTTTTGCTTTTTGCTGATTTTGTTGTGTTTTGTTTTGTTCATCCTTATCATTGCATGTAGGTGAAACATTATTAGAAAGATATAAATTTTTCGATTTTGCATCTCCATTAATGTTTTCATTAGCTTTGGTTAATGTATTCATATATTTATAAATTTTATTGCTTAACTCCGTGTTAACTACACTTAAGGATACATCTAAAATATTAAATTAAAATATTTTTGAAAAAGTTTAATATTAGATTATCTTTTTTTCATGAAATTACTATATAGACATAAGAGATCAATAACATATACATACCTTTCTTGTTTTGCTTCTTTTTGGATTGTTTTTGTCTTACTACATGATTTGTTTCATTGGTAACATCAGTTGGGTGTAAATTGTTGTTGCACTCCATATGTGTGATAGATTCTGTAAATATTCCTTCCATCTTTCTATTATAATTAACAAAAGTTAAGTTTCTCTTATCCAAACAATTTGTATCATCAGGACCCACCTTAACTGATTCCACACTTGTATCCCCTATTTTGTAACAAATAAGTTCATAAAATAAGACTATGGGTATTATACTACACAATAAAATAATATAAATAAATTTACCATTTGCCACATCTGATTCATCACAATATAGGATTTTCTTACAAGTTAATCTACTTTTTTTCTTCTTAGTTGATGTCTCAATATTGCAACATTCATGACTACAATATGTAGATATATCAGAACTTTTACTATTTTTAATAGCAAATAATTCATTGCTGCTGTTACTTATTACTCGTTGCTTTCGTCTTCCACGTTTTGGTTGAATTGTTTCACACTGGTCTGATGACGATGACTCTTGGTTTGTTTCTAAATTCACTTGAGTTTTATTATTCCGATTTCTTCCTCCAATGTTCCTTTGAGTTCTCTTTTTGAAGTGACTTCTTGTCAATATATAATTTTCTTTCTCTACAGTATTTTGTTTCTGTACTTTTTCTTTTAACTGTATATTATTAGACCGTTTAGATGTATTAACACATGATGATGATGATGGTTTTAACAGTTTTAGTGGCTTTCTTAATAAATGCCCACGATAAATTTGTGGAATTAATTCTGGATTTAAAATAATATCATGTAGTACAACTGTACAGATAGGAAGATGTTTTAATATTTTAAATTTTTCGTTATTTAGGCTTTGTGTTGCTTTCATATGTTCCATTTTGTTCTATTAATTAGTAATACATATACTGAATGTTTAATGTTGTTTAAAAATCAGTTTTAAAATAATTCTCTCGTTGTAAACATTAATAAAATTTCTCATAGTCTTATTTTGAAGACATATGTTCTCAGGAAAATTTATAATGTACAATAAAGTCCTCTGCTTTATCACACATTGTAATTGAATTGTGTAAAAATATTATAGATATACATAAATTATGGAACCTATAAAAATATTATAAATTTTTAATAACACAACATTCATGTGGTTGCAATAATGTGAAATGTGTAGTAACCTTACATGCAGACATCATATGAAAGAAACTACACGGTGTTTGGTATAAAAAATAATATATCAAATATCAGATTATAACAAAAAACAAGAAACTATCTCAACATACTCTTCATGATCATTTCTGTATTAATAAACTGATATTTTCATCCTGTAGTTTCTCACACGTTACAATTCTACACGTTACTGACAATCGTGTTAGCAATATTAGTTACTTACATGTGTCATTTTTACCAAAAAACATATGTATATGTATGCCATATATGTGTATTTCTTCCTTGACTAAATATTACGTGAAAATTCGTAATTTATGCCATCAATTGCAAAGTACACGCAGGCACACAAGAGAGTATATAAAAACCTTGCAATCACCGCGAAAACATTTAACTAACTACTTCGAGAATCGCAAGCGCTAATATCGATATACGACACTAACGCCACTAACCTGATCAAACTAAATGCTGCTGTAGGAATATTTATCGGCAGCTATCGGTATCAGAATCCCTTGCGCACTCTTGACGCTGTTGACTAAGGCCTCTTACACACTGTCGACTAACAATAAGTTGTCGGCGACTTGGTCGCCGAGAGACTAGAAACAAAGGCTGGTCGCGACGGCTAGCGGCTATGTAATCGCTATAAATTCCAATATGCTCAGTGGTCACCGACGACCGAGTCGCCGGTAACTAGTCGACAGTGCACAAAGGACCTTAGATAAGAGTGGAAAATGAGACCAGTAATAAGTTGACGTTGGGAATAAGAACAATTATGTTGAAACATACACCAAAAAGTTGCTCTTTAATTACTTCTTCGATATCCGTAAGTGCTCCATTTAATTAATTAATATCAATAATGCTATTACAAAAATGCTATTACGAAAATAGTCACAAATTTTTACTTACAAGGGAATCTCGCGAATCCGAAAATTCTAATTTTGATGAAACTTTACACACATGTAGGGGAGGTCAGTAGATGAATTAAAAAAATTTTCAGTTGCTGCCCAAAAATGGTTTTAAGAGGTAAACCACCTCTTATATGTAAAATGGCTTTTTGCTTTTCACGATATATCTCGAAAATTATTCGAGATATCAAAAAATGTTTTATACAAAAATTTTATAGTAAGAACACCTCTATTTAACCACCTTAACAAAATTAAAAAATTATTTTTTAATTATTAATTTAAATAATTAATGTGGTTAAATAGAGGTGTCCTTAGTGTATAAAGTTTCATTGTAAGAGAACATCTATGATGATATTCTCTGATACAAGAGCTTTTTTCTTCTTTTTGCGGAGGAGGGAAAATCTTTGAAAGACACCCTAGGGCCCTTGCCCCAAGATAGTGCAGGATTCGACATACACCAAGTGCAATGTGCACACCGTCTACCTGCTAAAATCCCCCCCCCTCCCCCCATGCTGTTACCCCCTGGCTTTAATGGGATAGACCCTGGAATACTTGTGGCACTATTTTGAGATCCATTATCCATATGACCTACCACATTATATGTGTTGACAGCGTTCTCTATAATGTATAAAGATATTCATTACAAGCATTAGTAATAATATGTATAAGAATATTTATAACAAACATCGTAATTATCTAGATAAAAATCTTTTACTTACCGTTGTGGGTTTTTTTGTTGCATATTATCCGCAAGGAGGACCTTTGACCAGAGATGTTACATAACTACAATTTCTAGAACTTTTATATATATTTTATTTTCTTCCAAATTTGAAGTTCTTCTTTGTTACAAGTTCCTGTCTTACAGCTAAGTCCCGATATGTAGGTGTATCCCAAATATTAAAGTATCAGATAGTTTCTAAGTTATTGAATTCGGAACTCAAAGTGACATACGTCCGCACTCTTTCAAAGATTTGTTACAACTCACTGTCGTGGTCTCGCGACGGCGTTTTTATACTTGTTAGAATTTAGATAGAGAGGATGTCTAGCAACAGCCCCGGTTCTCCAAAATTGCAATCATTTGCAATTTTGAAGGTCTTTTTGACCGGACTTTGTTCGTGTCTATGCTGCACGATTCTTCGATAACTCGTATGAGCTGGAAATGCTGGACTAAATCGTCAGCGCTTTTATCTTTCGGATCTCTTATTAGAATGTTCCGGAAGAATATAATATTTTATTAGATAAAAATATTGGTTGTGATTTTCTGGATCCACAATATTACGAACAATTCCTATATTTCAGAATATTTACAATCATGATATTCCTCAAAGAAATGTTGCATACAAAAATATTTCTTGCACCAGGAACAACATATAGCAGCTGCGCCACATATGGAACAGCATGGTATTCCTTGTGTACCTTTTCCGGAGAAACAAAAATCTATTGGATTCAAACTGTGGTGGCCGTTCTTCGATGTAGCCACTTTTAAAACAGGCATATTTGAAAAGATTATGGAATTGTGATGAGAACACATTGTTCCTGGTGCAAGGAATATTTTTATATGCAACATTTTTTTATGAATATCATGACTGTAAATACTATGAAATATAGAAATTGTTCGTAAGTAATCGATTTTTATCTAGATATAATTACAATAATGTTTGTTATAAATATTCTTATACATATTATTACAATACTAATGCTTGTAAATATCTTTATAGATTATAGGGAACGTTGTCAACACATGGTGCGGTAGGTCATATGAATAATGGATCTTGAAGTAGTGCCACAAGTATTCCAGGGTCTATCCCATTAAGGTCGGGGGGTAACAGCAGGGGGGAGGGTTTAGCAGGTAGATGGCATGCACATTGCACTTGGTGTATGTTAAATCCTGCATGGGGCACGAGCCTCAGGATGTCTCGAAGATTTTCCCCTCCTTCGCAAAGAAAAGAAAACAATACACTTTTGTTGCATATATGTAATAATTTTGGTAATAATTTAGTGCAATTACGGTAATTCCATATATAAGATTTAAACTAAAAAAATATTTCAATAAACACTGATTAAGTTTTGTTCAAATTATTATATACTTTAATGTTATTATTGTTCATAGTATTATATGTCCATTGTAGTGAAGAAGATATAT